GGGCAGATAGAGCATTAGATTAATAAATAAGGCCTAAAGAAAATCCTGACGATACCTATCGTTAGCTACCTAAAAAAGTATAGTTATAGAGTATATCCACTAACCGCGGACTATTAACAAGGTTATAACCGTAATGCTAAGCTCGCGGAGAGAGTATATATCGGCTATTTAATCGGCTATGAGAGCACTAATATATATCGAATTTAGGTGCCGAAATTAAGGAGGATCCTGCGTACGAGAGATATTACCTCTAACGAAAAATAGCTGTATAAAGATTATAACCACGAACCTGAGGTGTTAATTAAGGTTTTCGAGTAGCTTAATCTGTCTATAGATTATTAACTCTATGATCCTCTGGGTATCACTACTAACGTGGTTAATCTTCACCCTTAAACGCTACTGGAGTGGAATACTATAAGGAAGGTAATAGCGGAGGCTGCCACTACGGCGGCTATTATAGCTATCGCCGCTATTACTGCCGTTACTTCTAGGGGGGTGGATAAAGGTGCAGGTTTAATAACCACTATAGAATCTGCAGAAGAATAATAGTAGGAACATTAATAGTATAAGGCACCTAATTAGGAGGCACGTGGAATAGGGTAAATAAGCCCTATAACGTCTTCTACGCCTCCGGCGGCACCTGCTTTAATAACGCCTTCTATAATTACACCTATAATTATACCTTTAACGGTACCTGTTTTCCCTCCTCTAATAACCATAAACGGCCCTTCTATACTACTAACTAGAACTACGGATCTGCCGCCTATTTTTAAACGGCCTGACGAAGCCGAAGATTAATCTAACGATACGGCCGTAACCGGCAATACCGTCGAAATAGGATTATTATCCCCTGACTAATCGGTTCTTAAAGAGGAATTAACCACTACTACTACCACTATTAATCCGGTATCCACGGCTCCTGCTAAGTCTTTATAATCCTCTTCTTCTACTGCTACTACTAACTAACCTTCCTCTTCCACTAGTAGAAGAAGCCGCCCTCCTATTATTCCGACGGCCGCTACCGACCGGCCAACTCGTAGTAGGCGTCTAACCGACTATTATACCCCTCCTTCCTTTTATACCTTCTATAATTAGATCGAGATACCGAAGAAGCCGCTACTACGCCGCGATATACCTAAGGAACCTCTAAACTAGTCTTAAATACTAAAGAGTCCTGATAAATTAGAATGGATTAAGGCCGCCTTATAGGAGGTCGGCACGCTTAGGTTAATAGGTACTTTTAAACGGTAGGAATAGTCCTACTAGCAGGGGCACAGCTCGGGACTACCTAAATTAGTTCTAAGGCTATTAGACATTAAATAGGTTTTCAAGTATAAGGTCGATCCTACTAGTTACGTTAATAAGTTTAAGGCACGCCTATACGTTCGAGGGGATTAATAACTAAATACCCACCTTAATACTTACGCTTCTACCCTCGCTAAAAGGACTTTTAGGTTCTTAATAGGTATTATAGCCTACTTTAATCTCGAGACTCGGTAACTTAACGCCGTTAATGCATTCACTAATACCCTACTTAACGAGGAAATCTATATTAAGGAACCCACTGGTTAGCAGTTACTCTAGTCGGCTACGGGCCTTAAGGCCGATAATTAACTTAAGGACCTTTTAAAGTAACGGCCTCCTATATAACGTAGAGGGATTAAAAGGCTACGTCGAGCGCTATATAGTCTCCGCTACTCCCTAAAGCTATAGCACTAATAGCTCTTTTCCGTACTAGGTAAGTACGGTTTAAAGTAATTAACCGAAAACGATTACGTCTTTAAGAATAAGGTCCTGATTACTTTCTTTTACGTTAACGATATTATCCTAATCTACTGTAAGGAATATTAATCTACTACTAATAATCTAGTATAGTAGATACAGAAGAGCTTCTAAATCAGAGATCTAGGACTACTTAAGTGGTTCCTTAGAATCTGCGTAGGACGCGATCGTTAATAACGTAAGCTATAGTTATCGCTTAATAACTATATCACCGATAAGATAAAGGCGTTATAGGTGGATTATAGAGGTCGTAGAGTTAAAAGCCCTCTTCCTTATCCTAACGTTCTATAGCCTACCGACTAATAAGCCTCCGAAGAATTAATCTATCTATATCTTCGGAAGGTCGATTCTATTAACTACGCCGCCTACTAGACCCGGCCTAACGTCTTTAAAGCTGCTTTAAGGCTTACCGAATTCAGCACTAACCCTTTAAAATAGTATCACGAAGCTGCTGATAAGTGCCTAAAGTATCTTAGCTTAATAAAGACCCTATACCTTTACTTTAGACCACGTAAAGACTACTAAAAGTCTATACTCTTTTATACCTCCGACGCCGCCTTCGCGGACGATCGTGAGACTAGGTATAGCTCGTAAAGGTATATAACCCTCCTATTCGGGGGTCCTATAGACTAGAAGGCTAATAAATAAATAAGCGTTATAACCCTTAGTACTAAAGCCGAGCTTATAGCGCTTTCTGCTACCACTAGGTAGTATATCGCGATAAGGCGTCTAATAAAGGACCTTACCCTTACCTTTAAGAAGGAACCACTAACTATATACTACGATAATTAATAAACTAAGTAACTACTAGAGTCGCCGCGGTCTTAGGTTACCTTAAAATTAAAGTATCTTAATATCCACGCCCTTTAGATCTGATAAACTGTTTAAAAGGGGACCGTCACGATTAATTAAATCGCTACTAACGATATAGTTAGCGATAGCCTTATAAAGGTACTTCCCCCATAGAAATACAGGGCGTTTATATATCTACTTAGTATAGAGGTCCCGCCGAAATAGGATTAAAGTAATTAACAGGGACGACGTTCTTCTATTACGTTTTTAATTAAATGAAATCGGTTAATTAGACGGTTGTTTTAAGTGTTTTTATACCCCTATAGACTGTTATTTAGGTACTGCTTTTAATACTTTTTAACTGCTTTTTGGCTTTAACGCCTTTAACACCGTTAATTGATATCTAGGCCGATTTACCCTAGATTTACGGCTTTAAATTGATCAGAATAGTCAGAATTAATTCTGTAGTTCTGGGGGGGTGTGTTAGATGCCTATAGCCACCTTATCGAGGTGTGATAAACTATATTATATTAGACGTGTGGAGTACCTCGCTTCTATATATCCACCCTTATTTCCCCTGCTGTTTCCGTATAGTTAGATATTCCTATAAAGTATTATAGACTTTACTTAGATGAATACATATATAATTCCGCGTACCTTATTTATGTTCTGATAGAGGCATCTAAGGCATCCTTGTTAGGTGGCCTTTCCGGCAGTGGTTAGATCTGCTATAAGAAGCAGACAAACCGTTAATGTAGTTAAGGGTATACGCAGCCGTTCTGGTAGTCGTTAGATCTGCCACGAGGGTATCCTCGTTCTAGTAGTTATTAGATCTGGCGTGGAGGTGGCGTGGTAGTTAAATTAATTAAGGGTATTGTAGCCGTTCCGGTAGTTATTAGATCTACCGCGGAGGTCCGTTTAGGTGGCCGTTTTGGTGGTAGTTAGATCTGCTAAAGGAAGCAGGCAAACCGTTAAAGTGGTGAAGGGTATACACGGCTATTCCGGTAGTTGTTGGATCTGCCGCGGTAGGCGGTGTCGTGGTTAGAAGAAGGGTAGTATCGTTGAAATCAGGTTAAGGCTCTAAGGCCGGTTTATAAAAAGGGGATTATCTTTAAGGTTGGTAAATTAGTTCTGGACGAACGTTATAGGCTATAGCCGTTATATCGTCACTTCGTTGCCAGAAGGTCTAGTAGCTTTGGATATAATTTATATACTATTAACCTCGGAGATCTTATAGAAAGGTAATCTTAATCGTCAGTTAGCTTTTTGAGCTAGAAAGGATTTGGTAAAAGGTTCGCTGCACCGGCTCGGCTTAGATAGCTCTTAATCGGTAGTTCGATAGGTAAAAGGATAGATTATCGATAGTATATAAGACTCTTAATTATCAGATACAGCGTAACCGTAATAATAATGTAGAAGAATAGTAATAGGGCAAGTTAATCGTTGATTTAATTAAGGCTTGTAAATCTATAGATCTGTGTATATAACTCTTTTTTAAAATCCTGGACCGTTAGGGAACTCCTGCCACCGTAATTTATATAGTGAAAATTCTACAGGTGTCCACCCCGATTACTAAGGGTATAATCCTTCGGTTAAATCCGTGCCCGTTATATAACCGTTAATCTTACGACCTGTCCGACAAAGTACTATATAACCCCTCAAAAACCGTATAAAGTGGTACTTTGTGAACTACCCTTTTAGGAAGTTCAAAAAGATTCGAGGTACGTACCTGCACTAATAGCACCTATAAGAAGATAAATTTTAATACTATTATAAGATATCTTTAGATTAATCTAGACTATCTATAACTATTTTATATAGGAAAGGATTTAGTTATTAGATATATATATACGCTATATAGGAGGTGGTTTATAGAGCTATTAGCTATTTTACTATTTAATAAGTTAAGGAGCTACAAAGTGGTTTCAGAGAGTACTAAGAACCCCTGCTTTAGTACATCTAAACCTCTACATTTTGCATAGAAAGTTCGTACCTCTTAGGTATCTAGTTGTACTTATTGTCGTGATACTATTGGTCTATCCGGGCCCCGCAAGTACATATTGTACGTTTCTTCAGGGGTTAGATGGTATGTCCTGAAATGATCGAGGCGCTGCATAAGTAAGCACTTATGCTTGACCTCCAATCCGAGGCCGTTATAACAGGGGTTGCGCGGATACTTCCGTGCAGCCCTATACCTCTCGCCTGATATTATCAGTAACATTTCCAGCCTAATTACTATTCATAGCACAGACCGATCCGTCGATGCCAACAGGTGAGGAGATGCGGGGACATGATAAAGGGCGAGACCGCCACTTCCGCGACACATTACGCCGTTCCCTCTCTCGATCTTCGACGCTTCAATGTGTCTTTCCCGAAGCAGTCGCCCGTTTTTCATCCAACAGAAGAGCACCGCAGGATTAGGGTTCTTCGCCCTTTCGCTGTTTCTTTTCTCGTTCACATTTATTGCCCATATACTTGTGTCACTCACTACACGACCAAGTGGAGTGTAGCATCTCAACTTCCTGTTTCTCTACCCGCGAACATACTGCGCAAAGTAGGACAACAACCCGCTTGCCTCACCCTGCCTGCGCCTTCGTGACTCCGCTAACCAAAAGAAAAAAATTGTGGTCAGTCCAAGGGTAAACAAGTCTGCCCCCGGCAAGATGGGTGGTAGCTATTATTCCGATTATTCCGACGATGATGACTACGACGTCCGTATCCGGACTTCGGGGCGCCAGGCTTCTACGCCTTACACCTATGTGGAAGCTCCTCGTCGACCTGTTAGCTACGTTGCCACAGACCGCCGGCCTGACGCTTACCTAGTTCCCGAGAGGACTGTTGTGAGAGCCCGTTCTAGGTCACGTGAGCGTTTTCGTCGCCCCGACCCACCGACATCTCCTCCAGCCCCAGCAGCCCATCCCGTTATTATCAATAACAATCGCTTCTATCACGAGCCGTCTGACGAAGAAGATGATTACCGCCAACTGCAAGTAGCGCGTCCCCGTCAGCGCTCCCACTCCCGAGCCGGTCCAGCTACGGACCTGATCAGTCGTCAGGAGTTTGAGGCAGAACAGATGAGGCGAGAACTCGAGGAGATAAAGCTGAATAAGTCGCGAGATGAGGACGAGCGTCGCGCACTGAAACAGTGCCAGGATGAAGGAGAGCTACGCCGTATCAAGCAGGAACTGGACAAAATCCGTGCCCAAGAAGAGCGTGAAAAAGAAGAGCGTCGGGCACAGAAACAGTCCCAGGAGGAAGCAGAGCTACGACATGCGAAGCAGATACTGGAACAACGTCGCGCTCAAGAAGAGCGTGAAAAGGAAGAAGCCCGCATTAAGGAAGAACTAGAACTGAAGCGCTTGAAAGAGGAAGAGCGTCAGAAGGAGTTGAAGAAACAACGCGAAAAGGAGGCCCAAGCCGCGATTGAGCGGTACAAGCAACAGGAACGGGAGCGCGTCGCTCGGGAAGAGAAGGAGAAGGAAGAGCGGGAAAAAGAATACCAACGGCGCCTGCAGGAGGACCTGATCCAGTCGGGCCTTGACGAAAAACATATTGCAGCGATTTTGAAGAAGGAAAAGATTCCCGAGAAGCCCGCTCCGACGCCGCCTGCGGAGGCGACACGCCCCACGTATACTCGCATGGCCCGAAAGCATCTCTCTATCGAAACCTTGAGGACGTTTCATATTGAATATGAGCTTGACATCGTGAGCCTTCGCTGCCCGCCTACCCTCGTCCCGACCCGCTACAGCGAAATAGCTGTCCTGGCTAACCGTACACTTGTCGCCGTCACAGGATCCCGAATATGTACTAATTAAGCGATGGGTGCCTGACTGGGAGCAGGACACATTATGGAAGCATACGCGAGGTGTGCGTGAAAAGAGATCCAGCAGGCTCCTACTTGAGGTGGGTGATAAGAGGAGTGGGCGAGAAGACCCCAAGTTTGAATGGGTACGGAAGAAGAGCGACCGCAAGCGAAGCAAGTCGCCCGCCCTCCTCATGTACCTTGCGGGTGCTCGGCCGGCTTGAGTTGCATCGTGTATTCGCGCAGGTATCTTACACTTTTCTTTGGTTCTTCCAGGGTGCAGGGGTTGGGTTCTTGTTGAGACATGTCCTTGCTCTTCTTAAATGAATTCTTAAACGGAAAGGACCTTATAATACTCTGCATGTGGTGCAGGTAGCGCTAGGGATTTGCCGCCGTGCCCGTTCTGATATCCAATGCACCTTCTGCTCTTCGCATCAATTCCTCGTACAATGTCCATGCCAGCGCGGAGCTGAGGGCTTTCCGGCTCATGCGGAGCACTAGTCCATCAAAAAGCGATCGAACGCCTTCTTGCGAAACCATCTTATAGCATGCTTGATACATGTTGAGATAAGACGACGGCTCTAGTTGAATCCTGGTCTTGATTGCGTCGAAGGGATTGGAGATTACCGAACAGGCACCACCTGCTAGAATGCCCGACGTGAAGTTAATTACTCCGGCCTGTGTCGTGCTGAGTGACGTGTGGGGACCATCTTGCGGACAGGTTGATCCTTTGATGGCCATGATGCTAAGATGCTTTTTCAAAAACTCATATATTAAAACATATGCGCCAGCGTATGGAGCATCACGGACAGCGGTTGCACCGAACCCCGAAAAAAAGCCTCGGACGCCACTCGTGGCGTAGATATCTCGTGATGCATGTAACATCGAGCAGTACGAATACAGACTTGACTCGTACCGCACCTTGATTACTGTTAGGGGCATGAGGGCGAAGCCAGCACATGTCCTGGCAACTGCACCTGCAAGTAGGTTGGCCGAAGGGGAGAGCTTGGGCAAGGAGCTCGAGCATGCGGCCGAGATCCTAGTGTTTGGGCTACCAGATCCGGCCCAGTGGGAAGTTTGTGATATATGTTGACGTATCGTGTTTAAGGACGTGAAATATAGAGCAGAACCGAAACCTGTCCTGAGAGCCGAAGGCACGGTGCCTCGCCAAAAGGCCCATATCCTTCCAGGTGATGATGCAACTTGTTTGAAGTGGAACGCCAAGTTTCGGTGATTCGCCTGCTGGACTCTGGTCTTCAGCAGGTCCAGGGGTTGAAGAAGAATGGCAGATGTGAGACCAGATCCAAGGCCAGCCATGAAGTGTCGAGCTGGTGCGACATACAATTAGCCAATAAAAATAAAAAGGGTGTTGTGGGGAGTCTGGGCTCACTTGACATTGACTTGTTGGGGCCGCTCTGAGCCATTCGGGGTGTCTACTAGCGGGACCTGGGCAGAAAGATTATCACGGGATTGGAATTCGAAAGACACGAGACAAAGGCGACCGGAAGGTTATGTCAGATACAGCGTACTGGAACCGTATAAAAATAGGGTGAGGTTATTCTGACTAGGCCAATCGTGTATTCCGACTGGGGTCCAAGTGCCGGCAGCTAACAGAACTACTAATAACCGTTAACCACGTAATTAATTAAGGGAGTGTATATGTCAGATGCCCACAGCTACCTTATCGAGGTGTGATAAACCATATTATGTCAGACGTGTGGAGTACCTCGGTCCTATGTATCCACCCTTATTTCCCCTGCTTTTTCCGTATAGTTAGATATCCCTATAAAGTATTATAAACTTTACTTAAATGAATACACATATAATTCTATGTACCTTATTGATGTTCTGATAGTTATAAGCCCGGCGTTCTAATAAACGAAGCTATTTCGATTAATCCTATAGCTTCTAGGCTATTAAAATCAGTCTTAAGTCTATAGCGGGTAGTTTAGTATTATTAGTAACGTCCGCCTGCTTTAGTTTTATGTAATTATTTTATTATTTTTATCGTACTACCGTTTAAAGGGTTTAGTATAGTTAATTAACCTTTTCGTTTATCCTATTCTACTGCTTTTTATTAGTATAACGATAGCTTCCACGGTAGTAGTGCTTATTATAGGCCTTATAACGCTTACTGCTCCGAAAGACTAAAGGCCTTAGATTAAAGCCGTGATAACTATTATACACTCCTATAATATCGCCGACCTTATTAATCCCGACCTTAAAAAAGCTAAACGGCCTAAGCGCCGTATTTAAATAGATCTACTAACGCCTTTAGCCTCTATTAAAGGAAAAGGTAATTGGGATATATAGTTTAAGATCTAGTAGGTAGAAGAGAATCGGTATAAACCTAAAAAGAGGGGGATCTAAGCACTCCACGACTATATCGCGAAGATAGTTAGCCCTGCTTTAAAGGATTAGTACGCCGGCTATAAGGAAGTAAGGGATATAATAAAGGCCCTAAAGACGCACCTTAAGCCGAAAAACGCCGCCCAGAAGTCACTAATTAAGAGATACTAGGACGAATACCTCTAAAACGTTAGGCGTATACCCTATAAGCGCTGGCTAGAAGACTTTATTAAGCTATACCGCGACGCCGAGATATATAAAGTTAGAGAATTTAATACTAAAGAATAATAGATAGACGGCTTCTTTAACGCTATCGGCAGCGTAGTACTAGAATAGTTAGAGGGGCGTTTTACAGAGCTTATCCGGTTAGAAGAGAAGGACCTACCCTTAATTCAATCTATCGTGGAGGAGTATACGATATAGCTTCGACGCCGTTACCCGCACCAACTCGATAAAAAGCCCACTATATTATCCTTTTATATAGTAACCTTCCTAGGTAAGGATAAAGAAGGTAAGAAGTAACAGGTATAATCGGGATAATAGGGTAACTAATAGTCTAATAAATAGAAGAAGGAGTGGTTATACAATTACCGTATTAAGAAGAGGAGTAAATATAATTATAAGCCTCTATAGAAGTGCCTAAACGTTAACGAGGCGCGTAGGAAGAAGGGATAGACACCTTTAAAAGAGATCTTAGAACGCTGCGACCGGATTATTAAGACTTAGGATAACGAACGTTAAAAGAGATTCCGGGAGAATATTAAAAAGGACGCTCAAAGCCTTAAAACGGGTACTAAAAACGACTCTTAGAAGTTATAGCCGAAAGAATCGTTAAAGGAGGCATCTAACTTTATAGATAACCAGGATAAGGATTCCGACAAGGAATCCTATAGGATATATTCCCTTCTACAGCTTAATAGTAACGTTAGTAGTAACCTAAAGCTTTAATTAACTACTAATCGACTCTAGTACCTCGAGATAGATCACTAACTAACGGTACTTACTATAGGATTTTAAACCTGCTATCGAAGAGCGTTACTTTTAAATGGGTGGTGGAGAGACTAAGCTAGTTAAGGGTTATAGCAGGATATAATTAGAAGTGGATAACGAATATAGTAATCCTTTCGTTTTAGTGCTAAATCGCGTTGCTTTTATATAAGACTACCTAATAACCTTAATCGCGACTACAAGATTAAAGAAATAGGGTATCGTTTTTAATTCCGGACTCGAAGTGCTAAAGGTAGAGGGCTTAGTAGCCCTATCTCTAAATAACGTTAACGATTAATACGCTCTTATTCTAACGGATCGTTAATAGTACCTACTAAGCAGCTTCTTTAGCTCTATACGGCCTACTATAAGCGTGGCTAACGCTTATTTATAGTATAAGAGGCTAGGGTATACCGGCGCTATTACCCTTAATAAAATAGGAGATACCCTTATTAGAGGTGTTATTAAAGGAAAAGGTCCTCTTATAGTAGATTATAAGGCCTATACCCTTAGTAAGGTAAAGAAGGTTATCTTAAGAAGGTCACCTAACCACTAAACGACGAGGCCGTGGTATAGGGTGGAAGTTAACCTCTTTAGCCTTAATAAGGCCTATAATAGTATAAAGGTCGTGATGCTTTTATACGATCCCTGTACTCGTTAAGCTATTATACGGTTCCTGCATGACTATAAATTAGCCTTACCTATATTAGTGAATTTTAAGTTCTTCCTTTAAAGGCAGTACCACTATATAATTATAGTGATCCGACTAGATAAAGAAAGATCCCTTTAGAAAGGCTTCGATAAATAGGCCGATAAAAGAGGGATTTTACTTAAGAGGTTATCGCTATATATAGCCGTGCAGAATCCGAAGGCAGAACGCTATAGCGGCGTTATTTTTACTATCGCGAGAACCCTCGTAATAGCCTTAGGCATCTAATAGGATATATAGCCAGAGCTAGTGGCTGCTATAGTATGTCTATATAACCTTATCCCTCGGAAGGACCTCTAGTGGAAAACCCCTTAAGGGCAGATAAAGAATTAGATTAATAAATAAGGCCTAAAGAAGATTCTAATAAAGCCTATCATTAGCCACCTAAAGAGGTATAGTTATAGAGCCTATCTATTAACCGCGGATTATTAATAAGGTCGTAACCGTAATGCTAAGCTCGCGGAGAGAGTATATATCGGCTATTTAATCGGCTATAAGAGCACTAATATATATCGGACTTAGGTGCTGAAATTAAGGAGGTTCCTGCGAATAAGAGACGTTACCTTTAACGAAAAACTGCTATATAAAGATTATAACCACGAACCTAAGGTATTAATTAAGGTTTTCGAGCAGCTTAATCTGCCTATAGATTATTAACTCTATAATTCTCTAGGTATTACTACTAATATAGTTAATCTTTACCCTTAAACGCTACTAGAGTGGAATACTATAAGGGAGGTAATAACGGAGGCTACCACTATAGCGGCCACTATAGCTATCGCCGCTATTACTGCCGTTATTTCTAGGGGGGTAGATAAAGGTATAGGCTTAATAACTACTATAGAATCTGTAGAAGAATAATAATAGCAGGAGGCACCTAATTAAGAGGCACGTGGAACAGGGTAAATAAGCCCTATAACGCCTTCCACGCCTCCGGCGGTACCTGCTTTAACGTCTTCTATAATTACACCTATAATTATGCCTCTAATAGTACCTGTTTTCCCTCCCGTAATAACTATAAACGGCCCTCCTACACCACTAAGTAAAACTACGGATCTACCGCCTATTTTTAAACGGTACAACGATACCGAAGATTAATCTAACGATACGGCCGTAACCGGCGATACCGCCGTCGAGATCGGATTATTATCCCCTAACTAATCGGTTCTTAAAGAGGAATTAACCACTACTACCACCGCCGTTAATCCGGTATCCACGGCTCCTACTAAGTCTTTATAACCCTCTTCTTCCACTACTACTACTAACTAACCTTCCTCTTTTACTAGTAGAAGAAGCCGCCCTCCTATTATTCCGACGGCCGCTACCGACTGGCCTGCCCGTAGTAGGCGTCCAACCGACCGTTATACCCCTCCTTCCTTTTATACCTTCTATAATTAGATCGAGATACCGAAGAAGCCGCTACTACGCCGCGATATACCTAAGGAACCTCTAAACTAGTCTTAAATGCTAAAGAGTCCTTATAAATTAGAATGGATTAAGGCCGCCTTATAGAAGGTCGGCACGCTTAGGTTAATAGGCACTTTTAAACGGTAGGAATAATCCTACTAGCAGGGGTAAGGCTCAGGACTATCTAAATAAGTTCTAACGCTACTAGACCTTAAATAGATTTTTAAGTATAAGGTCGATCCTATAGGCTACGTTAATAAGTTTAAGGCACGCCTTTACGTTTAAGGGGATTAATAACTAAATAACCACCTTAACGCCTACGACTCTACCCTCGCTAGAAGGACCTTTAGGTCTTTAATAGGTATTATAGCCTATTTCGATCTCGAGACTCGGTAACTTAACGCCGTTAACGTATTTACTAATACCCTGCTTAACGAAGAGATCTATATTAAGGACCCTCCTGGTTAGTAGTTGATCTAGTCGGTTATAGGCCTTAAAGCCTATAATTAGCTCGAGGACGTTTTAAAGTAATCTATATATATTCCTAAATAACGTAGAGGGATTTAAAGGCTACGGCGAGCGTTATATAGCCTCCGCTATTCTCTAGAGATATAGCACAAATAGCTCTCTTCCGTTTTAGATATATACGACCTAAAGTAATTAACTAAAGACGATTACGTCTTTAAAAGCAAAGAACTAATCGCGTTCTTCTACGTGGACGATATTATTTTAATTTATAGGAAGGAATATTAATCTACTACTAATAACCTTATATAACGGATATAGCAGTACTTCTAGATTAGAGATCTAGGCCTAGTTAAGTGGTTCCTAGGGATTAGGGTTATTCGATATCGCTAATAACTTAGGCTTTAGCTTTCCCTTAAGAACTATATCACCGATAAGATAAAGGCATTATAAGTGGATTATAGAGGTTATAAGGTTAAAAGCCCTTTTCCTTATCCTAACGTTTTAGAATTATCTGCTACTAACTAATAAGCCTCCGAAGAATTAATCTATCTATATCTTCGGAAGGTCGGTTCTATTAACTACGCCGCCTATTAGACCCGGCCTAACGTCTCTAAAGCCGTTTCGGGGCTTACCGAATTCAGCACTAACCCTTTAAAATAGTATCA